AAGTGGGCGGGACTTGGTACGCTCCCATAGAAATCCTGACGTCTGATTGGCTGCTTCTCTCTGAGCAACAAAATACTTCTCCCGGGGGTTTCTTTGACTCTAATGTCCATTTTATCACTGAATAAAGCAGAAATAATTTCAAAAACAAGTTGCAATTATTTTGCCACATGGCAGGGAAGCAAACCCAACCTGTGTATCTATAGTTTGGTATAGTTTGGTATAAATATAATACGCTTACCTGCGATTTAGAGCCTAGAGTTACTCACCCCATGTGCTTTAAATAACTGGCAACACTTTTTTGAACTTATTCCCCATTTTACCGACAAATATATAGACTTAAGAGGGAAAAAGAAAGTAAAGAAGTTGTCTAGTCTTTCTTAGAGATGCAGCCAATCAGAAGTCAGGAACTCTATAAAACACCCTAGTCCCGCCTACTGACTTTGATGAGTAACGCTGACAGCTTGAGTAATATAATGAGAGAGCATTAATTAAATAAATATAGAGTGAAATAATAAGCCCTATATTAATTAAAAAGAATTATATTTGATGTTATAATTTAAATATTTCAATATTTAATTGTACATTTAGTTATTTTTAATTTTACATTTTATAATCTCAAGTTAGATTTAATTATTTACCAGTGTAATAAATTAATGTTAAATTTAATTATTTAATGCTACATTTTTCTAATTCATTACATATCTACATTTTTTTTAAATTCATGACATATTGATATATTTATTTAATTCTGTCCCCCTTAGCCTTCCATAGTGCTGCATTACAATAGTTTTACAGTGCAGATATGTTTGTTCCAAAAAGACAGGCTGAATCAGGCTGGATTATCCTATCCTGCCTGAATACTAGGCTGCAGAGATGGCAGAAAGATCTTATCCATGGGATTCAACCCGCAGCCCTCCCCCAAAAAACCCACTGACTGACCCACATTTTGATGGCTCCCCATCTCTGCCAATATAGATGACGCCTAACGACTTATACATCTGTATTATTTGGAATACGCAATGCTTTCCATGCAAACCCCGTATGAACTCTCACCACACACTAACTGCCCCCCTTGCTGATTATTTTTTTTTTTTTTTAGCATAGTGACCACCAAATCATCTCAAATTCTTCTTTGGTGTGGTTTAATCAGCTCCAGGCGTATGTGGGCCTTCTGTTTAACATGTTGCAACCAAAACAGATCATAAAAAAAATTAAAAAAACTCAGACAAGCCTCAGATTTTCAGGCAACATCTGTATGAAAGTGTTAAGGCTGGGTATTTATCTTCAGAACGGCGACATGCAGAACACATAGACAATCCCACTGATGGTCAAACATTATGGTGGTGTAAAGTCTGGGGCTGCTTTGCTTCTTCGGGTGCTGGAAAACTTCCTTCAACAGGTTTAACCTTTCGTTTTGCTCTGGCAGAATATTTCAGGGAAAATGTCTGGCTAACCATTTTCAAAGCACAGGTTTTTAAGTGGACTATTTAAAGAATGTCTCCATAGTAAATGCTAGCTGTCAGAAACCCTTATTACTGCCCAAAATGATTAATTTTAGTGGGTGATTAGTTTATCACATGAGGAAAATGAGAAATTAAAATCATTTAAATTCCTTCAGTTTTATCTGTTCCAATATCCCAATTTTTTGCATATATGATCCTTTCCTGATTGACTGTAATAACCGCAGGATGATTCTGGTCTTCCAGATAATAAACCAGACTGCAGACAGTCAGTCGGACTGGGAAGGGCAGTTCCCCTTTGAGTGTCTGAGTGGTTTATTTTAAAAGAGGATGCTTGCATCTCTGCTTGTACATTCCATGTGGGACTGTGGGGTAGGCGCATGACATGGCGGGACGTTTGATGGCCTGAGGTCTGACCTGCAGCATCACTTGCATAAAAAACGATGATACATTCACTGAGTCGACCAGCCCGAGGCTTCACCTTACCAGACAGAAAATCTAAACTTGGTTGCATTTGTGCACGCTTCCCCAAGATGTTTCTCTCCACAGGCAGAGTCATCTTAAACCACAGCTCTGCCCTCACCTATTCCTCATCTGTGGGCGCTTCTAAAGCAGGCCGGTTCTGTTGCAGCTTTACCCTTTAATCTGATGAAAAATCAATGAAACAGGGAATTTCTGTGGTTTGGTGGTCTGCATGACCATTAAAAATGTTTTCCTGACTCATGCACCCTTAGGTAAAAGAAAAAACCAACAACAAAAGCACACCTATACACCTCTCATGCTAGACATCCTGTCTCTGTAGCTGCCACCAACCCAGTTTGAGTCACGCCTGAAAATAGAGCCTTCGTTTTGTGCAATCACAGAGAGCCACACATACTTCTCGTAAATGCGTGTATGTGTGCTTTGAGTTGAAAAGCAGAAAAAGCTGGAGCCAACGTTGTGCAGTCCCCCCCCCCCCCCCCCCCCCTCCAACTTTCTCAAGGATACCATGCATATTTTAACTTCCAATGCCATTTTTATTGCCAGTTTTCCCCCCCTTCCTGAACTGACAGCCAGATGTTCTAACGGAGCCAGGGAGTGGGAGCATGGCATGTCCACGCATGGCATGGACAGACAGGCCTCTGGTTGTCTCTGCGGTTGTGAAAGCCCGCATGGGTGTGCTGTCCCCTGACCGGAGCCAAGAAGCTGGGAAAACCCCAGAAACATTCCTGCAATTCCTCCCAAGCACCACCCAGCGCAGGGAGCAAAAATGCACAGAAGTGGGATTTTAGATGTTTTTCTAAATGAGAAAAGTTTGTGGCATTACATATTCTGTGTTTGAATTTAACCCAGTATTCTCAGTCTCTCCATCCTCTTGTCCCCTTCTCCTTTCTGGTGCCACGTTGCACCACAAAAACCCCCATGCTTCAACCCTGGAGCTTCAGAGCTCAGTGCACTGAGGTAGCAGTTTTCTTTTGTTATAAAAATAAGCTGGTGCACAACAAGAAATAATAAAGCATTACCCAAAATTATCAACTTTTATAGGTAGAAATCAAGTCTGGATGTTTAGGAAGACTAAAGCAGGGGTGCCCAAACTTTTTCCTGTGAGGGCCACATAACTTTTCCCTTCTCTGATGGGGGGCCGGGGTCAGTTTGCAACAGAAAAATTGTGACGATTGCAAGAGTGCCTAAATTTATGTTGGAATTTATGTCTTTATGACGGGAATTATAGTGTCTCTGCAGGTTATATTCTTTGAATACTGCCACCGCCCCTGGACAGATGAGACAGACAGCCTTTTCTTTGCATTGAACAAAAAAATAATTGTTCATCCAATTCAGGTTAAATGCCCTGCATTCTGAATCAATTTTTCTCCTACCTAATCTTTTCGCCAATATTCCGTTCTCTCTTTACGAAAGAGGATTAGGGTCATTCAAAAAAGACTATTCAATTCTGACTTTTTTTTCCTTAGAATTCTGACTTTTGTCGCAGAATTCTGAGACAAAAGTCAGAATTGAATAGACTATTATTTTTATGGCCCTAATCCTCTTCCGTATCTCTTTGAAAGGGGCAGGTTTAAGATTTTTTGCTGGGGGTTGCCAGAGAGGGGCACAGACCCCAAAAGTGTGGAACATTGTCACGTTATATGTGTGTATGAAATAGTTACTAATAGTTAATAATGAAAAAAAACTTCATAATTAAGGAACATTTTATTGCAAATGTCTAACTTTATTATCAAATACAAAAAAATAAAATAAGTAATACACTTATATGAAAATACTCTCTGGTATTGTTCAGGGGCCCGGACCAAATGTGGAGGCGGGCCGTAGTTTGGGGACCACTGCTCTAAAGAATAAGGAAAGATCAAAGAGGGGACAGGTATATTAAAAAGAGGAAAGCCCTCAACTCACAAAATGCAAAAACTAGCTTTGGAAATAATAAAAGTCCTACAAAGGTTGTGAGAACATATCTTATCCGAAGCAGTCTTCAGATGGCCCTTTTTATTTCCATCCTCATAGTTAATGCACCTTACTGCTTTTCTGTTAAACTTACCTTCTGAATACAGTGTCATCAAACCAAATAAGTTTTCTTGCAACCGTATCCTTTTTATTTATTTTTTTAATCACACTGATATCAAGTCTGGACCCATGCAGTAAATGCTCCATTTAATGATGCCGTGTTGAGGGGGAACCTTTAATAACAGACAATAAATGTATCATCTTTAGTAACATTTCATGAGGACAAGTTCAGAAAACCAATTCCTGATTGCTCTAATGCAATTAGCAAACTTGTGTGAGTAAATCCGTGAACCAGAACTAAACATGGAGAAGCAGCATTTAGTTCCTATGCTCCGCTTATCTGGAACAAACTTCCAGAAAACTGTAAAAGTGCGGAAAGCCTGAGTTCCTTTAAATCAAGAATAAAAACACTTTTGTTTAGGATTGCCTTCGACTGTTCTAATTAAGCAGTTCAACTTTTTTATTTTCTTTAGTCCAACTGTTTTTAATTTTCTTTTTTGTTTCTGCATTTTTTATTATTTTTTCCTACTTGCTTTGATTCTGTTTTATTTTCCTATATTTTAATCATGTAAAGCACTTTGCATTGTCTTTGTATTGAATTGTGCTATACATATAAATTTGCCTTGCCTTCACCACATCTCAAAGTTACCTAACTGGATTAAGCTGAGCCCAGGGGCCCCCATCCTCCTTAATGCGGCCCTGTAGTTTTACATCTAACGCCACATGAGCAAATTAGAATTGATTATTGATGATTTCATAATGTAAGCTATATATAAATATATGCAAATAGATTTTCTGAAAGACTTCTGCATTCCAGAGGACATTAAATCGCAGAGTGACAGAAGAGATAATTGAATCTGCGTAGGGGATGGAAGTATGCAGCATGAATGTGGTGCAAACTGTGTGAGCCTTGGCCTTAAAGCACCCTCCCTCCCCTCCACTCAGCTGCAGGCTTTCCAGCGGTTTCCACCGGCCACAGGCGGCCGTCCTCGGAGGCTGCAGCAGCGGCCGGTTAAACGTAAACAACAACAGAGCTCCACTCACCTACATCGGCGTTGCAGAACGCCTGTTGCGGATGGACCGGAGCGCAGCTGCACGCCTCCGCGAGCTCCTCCGCGCGCCACAGCAGCAGCAGTAGCGCGAGCGCTGAAAGGATCCCGTTAACGGGAAACGGCATATTGGTAAACACCGCAGCGGGAATCCTCCTCTTTCTTCTTCTTCAGCCTATTTGTCTGTCTGCGCAGATGCGTTGCGGAGTAGATCCAGAGGCAGCGCTTCCCTTCCCTCCTCTGATTTAACACACACACGTCAACAACAAACCGGACTGGAGTTGCCGGTTCGGTTCCGATGCTACCCGCTGAGATCGTCGCTGTCAGCAAACTGCCTGCAGTGTTTTAACCTCAGGAATCTTTGAGGTTTTTCTAAAGCTGCGGCTCCTCCCCGCTAGATTCAAAGATGACCGGCAGAGGGCGCCATTTCTACATCACAGCAAACTAACCTTAGCTCCCTGAACTGTCTAGTTTCTCTAAACTTCTGCAAGTCTTTCAGAAATTTACTCATTTTTACGATTTATTTTTCTTCCTCACATGTTAATTTAAAATAAAATCCAAGAAGTCCAAACAAAGATCCTGTAAGAAGAAGCATCCTTATCCAACTGCAAGCTAAGTTTAAGGCCCATAATGGCTTTTAAGGAATTTCCTTTATAAGCGCCAAAATCACCAGCTTTTAATTTAACATTCTTAGATTCTATTTGAGAGAATTTTTCTGAGGTACCTTTTTTAAGATTTACTTTTGTGCACTTTTGCAAAAGTTTAACTTCCTCATATTAATTAGCTGAGGATCTTGTATCACTCCCTGAATTAGTGTTGCAAGAAAAAAAAAATGCAATTACTGTTGCAAGCTGTTGTCGGAAAATTTAGATTTCTCTTCATCAATATATTAATTTATCCTATGTACTCACTGTTTTCACTCAGTCTGTTTCACCTCCAAGGCCACACAATTCTCTACGTGAGGGTTTTTGCAGACCAGACATAGCTTCTTCCCATAACAAACCAGATTCTTTCTCAAGGTTTATTCATAAAATGTTACTGTTAACCAAAGTGTCTGTAAGTTGTTTTGACTTTTACTACTTTCCATTGTTGTAAATAAGGGGGGGGCGAACACTGCTCTAGCAGAATAGGGCAGAATGCTTTGCCATTAGGGCTGTATGATGAACTATTCTCTATTTGCAAAGATATGAAGAAATGTGCCAACTGAGTGAAATCCATTCATTTCCGTTTATTTAACTAAGGTGAATAGTTGAATACTTTTTTCCCCACTACAAAGCTCTCACAAAAGATTAGCAAGATTCATGTTTTTTTTTTTTTTTTTTGCAAGCTCCAAGTTATTTTTGCTTTACTATGTATTTTTGCAGGAGTCCTTTTTGTTTTTTTTGTAAAATTCCAAGTTACTTTTGCAAAATTCCATTATTTTTGTAAGGTTGTTTTTGTGAGCTTCTAGACTTTTGCAAGCTCGTACTTTTTTCTTTCTTTTGTAAGTACTAAGGCAAGATCCTATTTCAAAACAATTTTGCAGAAGTTTACAAAAGTAATTCATGATCTGGAAAAATAACTTTTTTTCTTTCCACCAATGTGTCTGAAGCTAATCTTACATTAAGAATTAACACACTATCTTTATATATATATTTTTTTTTTTCCTAAATGTAAAGCATATAAATCAATTTCACAATATATATGTATTTAGCAGGCTCAGAAAGTATATATTTTTGTACTAATTTTTAAATAAAAACATCTGTAGATTTTCTCTTTATCAACACACAAGAGCAATTTATTAGACTTCTGAAAGGAAAACTCTGAGGCACTCTGTTTTAAAACTGTAGTTTATTCCAACTCATGCTGAGGTTTACGTTTGCACAGATAAACTCCTTTTTTTTTAAATGGAAACCATTTCAATAGAAATGGTTCGATGAATCAATACTGAATCTCCAGCCTACCTCCTTTCTGGCACAAGAGGGCAGCAGCTTCCACTAAAACTGGGGACGTTTTAAGACTTCACAAGTTCATAAAAGGCATTTTAGGATTCCAGGGTGAAGCTAATGCTGTTGAACTAACCTAATATAACCACAGCTTAGCAGTGTTGCTCTAGATTCTCTTCAAAAGGCACAGACTAGGGAGGATCAGAGCCCTGGAGGCTCATTTTGCAATGAAAACAGCAACAAAGGCAAAGCAACGCTATGTTCCTGAGATGAGATTGTTTGGTTTCCATACAGAAGCCTACAGCAACTTAAAAGCCTGTCCTTCCTGCAGACATAGGATTAATGAAAAAGGGAAATTGAAAAGAAATAATAAGATTCTGAATGAAATAATAGAACCTAGAAATCACTTCGGTTGATAATTAAAAATGAGGGAAAGGTTTTTAAAAGCCCTGACTGGAGCATCAACTGCTGTGTCACAGTGAAAACACAAAGCTGTCCTCTGGGCCTTAGAGACCTTTGTTAAAGTAAACTAACTGGACTTTATCTCCATATTGAGACACGATGGAGTCTCTGAGCTCGGGCTCCAGCTTCGACACGGCCATAGAGCTGCAGAAGGAACAAACAAGATCAGTCAGTCAATGAAAGCATAAAACAAAAACTGATTTATAACCACTATTTCACTCCCAAAACTTTTAAAAATAAATATTATTATAGCTTGATTACTTATTGAATCATGGTACCCTCACTGTTAGAGCAGCATGACTGTAGTTTGATCCTAAATTATATGTGTATCCCCTTCCCACAAAAAAAAAGAAAAAATCTTTATTTTGTAAAAGAATTTAATCCTAAGTGATGCACAAGATTTGAACTAATTTTTCTATGAGTACTGAGGCTCCGTCGGTGTCAGACGTCACTTCTCCACTGACTGCATCTTAATAAAGCTTAGCTCACCATTAAGTTTTCTCTCAGACATTTTATTTCACTGTCTGAAGTCAGATAACAGGGATTTATAGATTTGTTTGCAGGTCATAAAAACCATCTGTTAGCCAGACAGCAGAAGCAGTTTTATGACTGTTTAGTCATCCAAGTAAATCAACATGAATGCAGGAAGGAAAAAACATCTGGACTGCTCAGCAGCATTTAGCAGAATTTTTCTAAGTTTGGGAGTTTCTTTGCTGGTGTAAGGACTGCCTGATGCAACACTACACAGAAAGTGACAGAAAATGCTTTGTGCATTAAAGAACTCAAAGTTAGAGGTTTAAATATGGTTAACAAATACGCTAAATAATGTCAGCTGTGGTATTTTGAAGCAAAATGCTGCACTTTGTTTGGGGACACAAAAGATTAATAATTCCTAAAATAAATAAATAAATAAAAAACTCAACCCTTTTTTTTAATATCCATAAATGTCATGTTTAGGCATTTAGGCACTAGATTCACAAAAAGCCCTGATTAAATAATCTCACCTTCTGACCTTCCAATAAGCGATCAAAGAGGTGGCCAGATGGGGAGCACTTTTATGATATTACTAAAACATTTTGCACTATGGGAGGTGGGGAATACACTTCTAAAATAGGTCTGCTTTGTTTTTGTTTTTTTTTGTTTTTTTATTTTACAATCAACATCAATATTTAGTTGTGTTAAAAAAAAAAAAAAAAAACAATAAATCCAACAACCAACTGGAATCCGTATCTATATGTGCTAACAAGCTAGAAATTTGGGCAGATGACTTAAATTTAACATCAGGGAGGGGTTTAAAAATCAAACAGAGGATGCACAGGGCTGTATGAACCTATTTATCGAAAAAAATATATTTTCTTAAACAAGTCAAGATGTGTTTGCAGTCTTTTCAAGCTGTGAGAGAGCAAGGCTTTTAGCAGATAACAGAAAGGCGAATGAAAGTACAGCAAAGTTTCTCTGTTTTATCCCTTGAAGCTTCCATTCTTTTAGTAAGCATGTGCAGCCCTAAAAATGAGACTCGTTTGACTAACGCCAACTCCGCTTACAACACTGGTAAAGATGCTGAAGCGAGTAAAAACATCAGCTACTTATTCATTTCATAAAACTTTTTCTTCTTCTTATACAAATGTTCTTGACACGATTTAGAATCAGCCAAAAATGGTCTCAACAAGCCACAAAACGAAAGAGACTAAATGATTTTCATGTTAAAAGTCTGAACGGAAGGAAAAAAAAAAAGGAAACTGTTTTAAATATTTTTCCTTTCATTTAAATAAATTATTCTACATTCATCCAGCCAAAAAAAAACCGACTAAGCTTTCGCTCAAGACTACACAGCGGCAAACGTTTCTGGTGACTTTATCAGCGCACAGATTGTCATTTTCTTTCCCCGTCTTCAACTCGTTTGACCTGATCAGATGTAAGGTCAATAGAAACAGCGACAGCCTGTGTGGGATGAGGTATTTTAATGTGAAAGCATGTGAGAGGAAAGGATAGTTTCATTACCATCTCTGAGGGAACAGGGAGCAGGCGGCCGGCACCATGAAGATCAGACTTTTAAAGGTGGAAAAAGACCAAAGTTACCAATAATCTAACATCTATTAAAACCAATGTGATCCTGCAACCTTTTGTACTCACAAGACTCCCACCAACATGACCTGGATTGGTCCGTGAAGAAACGTGATTCTCTGTTAACGGACAGAAACCGGCATGAGGACGGGCGGACATTATTACGAGACATTAGCAGAGGCACACTGATGGAGACAAAGATCTGACCTGCATGAATTTGTACTTTTCCAGCCTCTGCATGATGATGGGCAGAATGACTGAGAGAGGAAACAAAGGGCGTCGATTAGGGGAGAGGAATGAATCTCGGAATGATGGTGAATAAAAAAAAAAAAAAAAAAAAGGAGCGTTTGTCGTTCGTACTCATTCCTGGTGCTGCCATGGTGATCCGAGAGACGACCACCTGGGTGATGCCTTTGGCTGCTGCTTTCTACAGGTGAAAGGTCAAAGGACATCAAGCTGAAAATTGACATGAAAACTAACCGGGCATCTTTTGATTTAATACCAAAGTGTTCACTTTAACTAAATGTCTAGAAAAGGTATTGCTGGATTCTTTATTATACTTTTAATCAAACTCTAGCTAAGGAACAAGGTTGTTCTAATTCACAACACCTCTGCATCATCAGTGTGATATTTTTGTTCTTGAAAACACATGCAGTGAACAGAAAACGTATAAAAGATTATAAATGTATCAAAATTGATCCAAATAAATAATATAATTTAACTTATACAAAATGAATGTTTTTCAACGACAACTAAAAAAAAATTGGATTTTCTGTCAATTATTTCATGGTCCAGGCTTTAAAGGGTTAATTAACTTGAGACTGTTTTAGGTGAAAATGTTCCATCTCAAAAAGCACCAGCAGCTATACGGGGAGACTTTATAGTCAATGGTTTTTATGATAAAAAAACTAAATTTTTTCCACATTTAATGTGTCCAA